ATTTTCTAATGAAATTGCGAATTTTACTCCTTTACAGGCACAGCTGTTTGACAGCTCATACCCTAATCCCAAGTCCCATAGTTACAGCGGATGCAGTGGCACCGGCGATTGTGCTGCAATGGTGTTGGCATCAGCGGCGCAACGAAGATTGCATGTCTTGTGTGGAAATTCGAGGATAACATACAAGTGGCTGTAAATTGTAAAATCGTAAACTCCAATTTCCATTTCTATACCCCATTCAACATTTATTGCTTTCATTTGTTATTTTTTTTTTGTTGTTGTTCTTCATCAGCATTTGTTGTCATGGTATTGCTATTACTGCTGCCAGAGCTGATCCTCATCCTATTGAGGTTGTGTTCTTTTTTGAGAAATTTTTTGTTCCCAACGTTTGCAGAAAGGATTAAATCAACACTTTTTGCAGTGTATGCACGCATACGTTAACATTGCACAAAGCTAACATCAACATTATCAACCACTGCTGCCACCCGCTCAAATCCCTTTTCATCAACATCAACATTCGCAGTTCTAATGGCAACATAAGCTGCATTACTGTCGCTACCTACCACCAACTAAGCAAACAACAACAACTACTAACGCCATTAATTAAACCTCGACAGAGAATCCAAAACACATGCATACGTACGTACACCATCCCTCTGGCGTTCATGCACATTTATACAAAAATAAACTGGAATGTAAACAAAACGAACTAACACAAAAAAAATAAAAAAAAAATAAAGTCGGAAGTACTTAAATAAATCCATAAAGACTCTAACTGTTCCTTTGGTGTCTTATGTTGTTATGGTAACTGTTTTAAACTCCTTCATCTTGTGACTTCTATTTTGGATTAATGTCGGTAAAGTAATATTTATTGTTAACGATGAAGCTTCTTAAACATTAAAGAGTCGTGTCTAAAAAAAGCCGTAAAATTTTGTTCCGAAATAAAGTCTCTCATATAATCAAAATATTTTCGAAATATATGTGCACTATAACTGCACTATTTTCTTTATTTATATTCGATTAAAAGATGAACCTTTTGCCCTTAACGAATCTTTTTCCGAAAAGTTCAGGGTTCTTTTTTTTATTATGGACAACTGTGTGAGGATTGTACTCATATGGTACGGCCAATTATATGAAGTAAGCTGGGAGTTGCGTGCTATAACTATGCGTATTGACGAGATACATCAGAGTTGAAACAAGAGAAAATAGAATAATGAATATACTCGTTAAATGAAACTAATTCAAACGTTTCTTATAGAGTTGGTAACGCAATCTCTTCAAATATTCCAACCTTAAATCGCTAATATTTTTCGATCACATTCTGTTTTTATTCGATGAGAACTATTACTCATTGCTTAAACAGTTTCATGGTTTTTATATAGTTGTTCTTCAGAGATCTTGCTGAGGTAATTTTCATATTAAAAAAATACTGTTGAAGAGATCGGAATACACTTTGATACTATATTACTCTATATAGTGACTAAAATTTGTTTAAGTTTAAAATTGACTACTTAATATAATTGAAATATATAGCACTTAATTTGTTTGATAAATTTTTTTATATAAAATAAAAAAATATCTACTTTTAGTAACAAAACTGGTTACATACTAGATAGGGTGTCGTATGTAGTGAACCTAACAGAAAGATTTTCACACTCTCCATGCATTTTAAATTTTTTTCCATATTATTTTGCGAATTAAATTGCAACTGTGCTTTTCCTATTACTCCTGTTCGCTACATTCTCTCATATCGGTGAGCACATACTTCATGCATTCTTGCATATCTTGTCGTGTAGTGTTGGTAGCGAAGTATGTGTCTCTTGTGGCAGTGGCTTATGTATGCAGTCCTTCCGTTGATGTAAATTGCAATTAGTGTTGACTTATGCACAAAAAGTATAGTTTTATGCAAATGTCTGTGGGAAGGATTTCGGTTTAGCCAAATCTAGCTTAGCTAGAGATTTGCAATTTGATTTACTGGCTCGGCAGTTGAAGGACATAAAAAACGATACCAGAAGATTTATGCAATAAATTAAAATTTTTTTACATAATCTTGGAAGTCGCAGATACTTTCTATGTTTTTAGTGCTTCTTAAGCACTTTCTGACTAAAGCGCTTAACCTGTCGCTTAAAGCGAAAATTTATTAAAATTTATTTGTAATAAATTTTACGAAAAAAGATACAAATAACAAAATGTATTTATTTAAAGAAAATATTTAAAAAATTTCGCTGCTAATTGGCATATTAAATGCGACATAATGAGTATCGCGCCACAGATCCATTTTGAAATTTTTACACTAATTGTCGACAAAAGTTGGTACACTCGAGGAAAAATATTCGAAAATGTATTATTGAGTATTATGTTTTGAATTCTCGTTCATAATCATATTGAAACCAATAAAGAAACCACATTCAATAGATATATTAAATTTTTACAAAAAAACTATGAATATTTTTTGGAATGACTAAAATCGAAACACTTTCATATTATTATTATATTAATATATTAATTATTTATTACGAATTCTGTTATTAATAATTCTGTCTGGATTTGTTTTAGTTCGTTTCTCAAGGATAAAATTTCTATTTGAGAAATGATATTCTCAAGTTGAATCCTATAAATACTGGTAAATCAACTAGTGTGCAAGCATAAAGCTCCTAATAGACTCACACATACTATATTATAAATACTGAATTACTTGAGTACTGTTTCCTTGTTTGCTGTTCAGATATGAGTTATTGTGATATGTGAAATATTTCGTTCTGTTATTTGAGATATATTCCACTATCTACTATTGTGGAATGATTAAAGTGCATTTTGTAGGAATCTGTGTCTGTGATGCATCTGGATGGTTTCTGCTTCCAATATTCAGACTTAAGAACTGCAAGTTAAGATACTTTTGAATATATAGCGCACATTTTTTTTAAAAAGTTCTTATTATTTGGCAATATAATTTTATTAATTTTGGTAGTAAGGTACTTAAAACTGAACAAAAGGTAAATATAAAAGATGAGACAAATATGAAATATAAAAAAAAAACATCGAGACAAATATTAGTTCCTTTCTTTTTAAGGCATGTCATGCACCATATCTCAGCCCCATTCTTGTTCTTGATATATTCTTCTAAGTGCCTAGTCAGGTATGTCCCCGATCACGAAAGAGCTATTTTGTACTTTTTTTCGCGTCTCTAAGAGACTACACTCTCAATGGTGTCTCTCTAGACAAAGTTCTCTCAAACTCCTGCTTCTATGCTCAATTTAAGTAGTCCGAATTCTTCTGAAGTCAATAAAATATATACAAAGTATATTAGTTTTTATCGTGTTATTGTCTCTAGTATCTTGATTTATTACGAATTTTAGTAAGCTTATTTATGAACATTTTTGCTTGAGTGTTTTTTGAACACATTTTACACTTTATCACCTTTAATGTTCTGGCAACCGCAAAACAAATACGAGCATCCACACATATTCGTTGCCACATTTGCATAATCAACTGCGTTTAAATATGCAATCTCGTTTCTTGTTGCACGTATGAATGTGGCAACTTCATTAAATACGAAAATACGAAAATTCGCTGCTGATGCAGAGTCTGGAGCTGGAGCATCAGCGCCACAGCACCACATCTGAGCCGTGCAGAGTCGAAATGAAATTGTGTAAATCAACCGAAAAAACTATTAAAAAAATTTATGCATTCTTCCGTTTTAATGAACTTTAAATAAAACATGTCGTAAAGGGAAATTTGAGGGAAAAACACGTTGCCTGTCGTGTTGCAGCAATAAATGCCACATCAGGGGACACCTTTTTAATTGCGCAACACTACAAATGAGACAAGTTGCAAATGAGCGAACGGAGGTTGCCTTCATTTTGTACCATTATCGCCTTCATTCCCGCGAAGCTTTGTTCTTTCTTTCATCTTTGAAGAAGTCATAAAGGAAATTCCAAGCGTTCTTACATTTTTAAGAACATTAAAATTTTTGTAAGTAATTAAAAACTATTTTCACTTGCCGCAGGGAGTGAATGGAAATCAATTCCATATTTTCTTTGCAATTTTAAGATTTTCCGTGTTGAGAAGAGTAATAAACACGTAAGTGGGTTTAAACGATTAAACACTTGGGAAACAAAATTTATTACACCGAATTGGACAATGTCAATAAATGGATGAAGTTCATGCACTTTAAGAGCAGGTTTCATGACTCAATTATATGAAAGAGTGACAATACATAGTCCCTCAACCGAATAAGACAGCTGCATTTAAAATTGAAACAGATGAAGTATTGAATTTGTTCATGGTTTCATAAAACTCGTGTTTAATTACTAAAAAGTAATTCAAAGCACGAGCGAAATATATAAATGAAGACCTTAGGTACGTGTTAGTAAAAAAAAAATAATGAAACGATTGAGTTAATAATTAAAAATGTTCTATAAAAAATAAAGCTTGAGGTCAATAAAGACAAATACTGCGATTATTGAAGAGATTTCAACGATGGCGTATTCCGGCTACTGTATTTTGCAGGAGTTATGAAGAAGTTTATTTAAGAAGAATATAGTATCCACTTATCACTTTCTATAGCTTTGTCAGAGATTACAGACGTAGAGTTTTCCATATCTTAGAGATTATTTCTTCGCTGGCTTGATCGAAATAATAACATTAGACTTGCAAGATATTTTCAGCTTTTTTTGGAAAACCAACCAGTTTAACAAGGACACGAGAAGATAACAATAGTTAGTGTAACTCGCCTCTCCCAGGCAATTTTGAAAGCATAACAATGAGAATAAATGTGTCCTAGTGGAAGTGCTGACAGTTCTATCAGTTCAAAACGTCTTAACCTAGCAGGTTT